AGCTTAAACAGCTATTTTATGAACAGCTGATTGATTTGCATCAGGCTTTTAAGGACAGCCAGTGACTATTGTTCAAAATATGTCCTAGGACAATTCAGCTTCCAATAGCTAATATACAACCCAGTCTCACGGCATTTCGTGTTCACCAACACGATTTTTAATCTATTGATTCGTGTTCACCAACACGATTTGCCCCTTTTTTTCGTGTTGCACAGCACGATTTTAAAAGCAATGTATTTCTACTTCCTGCAGCACGTCTTTTTCTCCGGTCGGCTCGAGGAAGACCGGAAGCTGTGTGGTTCATAAAAACATGTTCTTACTCAATATCAAGCCACAGTTATTGCTTTTATTTGAAATCGTATAATTTCGGACTTTTGTTGCCGTCTGTGAGGAAAATAAATGGGGCTCAGAGCCTCAGAATACTGAAATCTGTATTTTAAAATATTTTTTCCTTCTAATTCGATATTCTTTTTAAAATAACACACTGTTATTTACTCACCAATAACACACAATTATCCTTGCTTTTATTTATTGGTTTAATTCCATAATCTCGGGCTTTTTTGGCGTCCGTCAGGAACTGAATTTCAAAATAAAAATAACCGGAAACAGACGTAGGCCTATAAGGGACATTTCGAGCATCATTGCGATTGTCAACATTTCTGAGTTTAGGATGGCCGAAGACACTACACTACCCATAATCCCCAGCTATCGTTTAGGACTACGGTCCCCGTAAGGTTACGCAGAGCGTCAAACAGCTGTGTGAAATGGAACGAAACCACGCCAGACTATCCAAAACTGGAATCGAACGCCCCCCCCAGAACTACACATGCTGGCTATTGTGTTTCGCAAAATGTTCTATGAGACGTCTCTACTGAACGTTTTCGTTTTTCCCACAATTAGAAGTTGCCAGTATTAAACACATTGGTGTTCCATCCATCCATCCATCTTCTTCCGCTTATCCGTGGTCGGGTCGCGGGGGTAGTAGTTCCAGCAGAGAGCCCCAAACTTTCTTTTCCCTGGCGACATCAACCAGCTCTGACTGGGGGATCCCAAGGCGCTCCCAGGCCAGCGAAGAGATATAATCCCTCCACCTGGTCCTAGGTCTACCCCTTGGTCTCTTCCCAGCTGGACGTGCCTGGAACACCTCTCTAGGGAGGCGCCCAGGTGGCATCCTAACTAGGTGCCCGAACCACCTCAACTGGCTCCTTTCGACGCGAAGGAGGAGCGGCTCAACTCCGAGTCCCTCCCTGATGACCGAACTTCTCACCTTATCCCTAAGGGAGACACCAGCCACCCTGCGGAGAAAACCCATCTCGGCCGCTTGTATCCGCATTGTACACCACATTGGTGTTATCAAATGTAAAACATATAATTAATAAATGGGTGAAAATCGCTTGTGTCCATAATGCGCAGCATTAATACCCACATGACAGCTCATTGTTACTTTGTAATTCTACTCCACTACAATTCAGAGGTTAACCTGGTATTTTTACTCGACTGCATTTATTTGAGTTACTTTGCAGATTCTGATTAATGATGTGAAATATAAACAACCCTTAAATCAGACTTTAGTTACACCTGAGTAAAATTCAGGGAAGGTGATTGTCAAGTGCCAACAATCAGGAGAGATATTTGATAGTTGGTGCTTGAGAAGACTAAACATGTATCTGCAATTGACATGAATGGAAACGAGTAATAAAGTATATTCATTACTCGTTATTCTCTACTAATAGTTAATTAAAGACTGTATATTATGGCTATTTTGCAAATCCCTTTCAAGATTTTCAAAGGTTTATTGACATATCATATACACAACTACGGTGTAGTTATGCAATGAATGAAACACTTGGGTCACAGGTTCCTCAACAGTGCATTACAAGACATCTATCAATATGTGTGTACCTCCACCATTAAACTGTCATATTCTGCACATTTCTTATTCTATCTACATACATAAGAGTATAATTCATATGTATAATATCAGTTAAAATAAGTGTTTCAACATAGTTAACATTGCAGGAAAGCAATATATTAGACGTTAAGTACTTTGTCAGGCTTAATATGTATCTGTAGATAGATACCCCCAAAGTTTTTTTCTTATTTAAAAGAATACCTTAATCTGTTATTTAATGTTTAAATAAAGGTTAATTCGTTTTTCTGTTTTGCACCTCCTCCTATTAATATCTTTGTACATTCTGCACTAAACTGTTTTATTGTAGAGATCACTTATAGTATCTTCTTGATTTTTTATATTCTATATTTATACTTTCCCCCTATGAAAGTATGTACTCTTAATATTTTTTTAATCAAATAAAACACAATAATTCAATAACGTGCTTTAACCACTAGGAGGTGTACACAAGGTACACACAGCCATAATAACTTTGTATTATTAGTGTAGGACACTTTTGTTTTTGTACAACATCTGAAGATGTGTAGTTTTATGCATGCTTTCACATAATTTTACAGCATATTGCTATACTATTTCAGACTCAGTATTTACATTATTACATTCAAAGAAAATCAGTAATATCTTTAAAAACTACAGTCCTTTTATATCAGCTGTGCACCGTTATGGTGTAAATATAACCTATCTACAAATTAGATCAAATGTAAAAGTCAGCCGAATTAGTGTTGATACTGCAAGGAGACGTATTGTGTGAAGAGAAATTGAAGATGTTCTTTAATTGTTGAATATATTTATGATCCACGTCAAGTATTCAGTTTCGGCGGCATTTCTTCAGTTTTTCCAAAGGTCTTCTCATCAGGGCTCTATAAATAAAGAACTACGGCAGATCTGTAATATACAATGCAGCCGAACCGTGTATTACAATGCCGTTATGTGATGACTTTCAAAGAGAAAAGCAAGAGCGCTCGGAATTAAGTATTATTTTATTCTTTTAAAATGTTTTCCGGATTTCATATAATATAAACACCAAATCCCAGCATGCATTGCGGCTAAAACATCCAATAAGCGAGCTTAAACCCATAGCTGAGGATCTTGGGTAATCGCTCGAAATGCCTACGTCTGTTTCCGGTTATTTTATTTTGAAATTCAGTTCCTGACGGACGCCAAAAAAGCCCGAGATTATGGAATTAAACCAATAAATAAAAGCAAGGATAATTGTGTGTTATTGGTGAGTAAATAACAGTGTGTTATTTTGAAAACAATAACAAATTAGAAGGAAAAAAATATTTAAAAATTACAGATTTCAGTATTCTGAGGCTCTGAGCCCCATTTATTTTCCTCACAGACGGCAACAAAAGTCCGAAATTATACGATTTCAAATAAAAGCAATAACTGTGGCTTGATATTGAGTAAGAACATGTTTTTATGAACCACACAGCTTCCGGTCTTCCTCGAGCCGACCGGAGAAAAATACGTGCTGCAGGCAGTAGAAATACATTGCTTTTAAAATCGTACTGTGCAACACGAAAAAAAGGGGCAAATCGTGTTGGTGAACACGAATCAATAGATTAAAAATCGTGTTGGTGAACACGAAATGCCGTGAGACTGGGTTGAAATATACCATGAATGCAGTTCCCCATGTTCAACAAAGTTTTCTTCAGCTATTGTTTTGGTACAACTTAGTGAATAACACATCATGATGTAGTCTGGTGAACATCTTTTTTCTGACCTAGATTGCACTGATTTCATGTACTAGCCCAGTCGTATGATTCTGTATCCGTTAGATATTTGAACACATCCATATGCTTTAGTTGCAGTCAGTCTCCATGCTGATATTCTTTGTATATTAACTACATTTATTCATGTAAACATTTGGTCTAAGACATTATTTACAGATTAAAAGGGGTGTTAAATAAAATGTGGTGTTGATTAAAGGATTTTATGTTAATGTAAGAGCAGTTAGAACAGACCGGGAACACCAAAGTAAGGTCTCCATGCCATATAGTACAGCTTATCACCATACTTCATACTTATCTTATCCTTTGTGTATACTGAACATATCATAATTGCCCACCTCCCTTTCATGGTGAAGGTCTTATATATGCACCTGAACAGCTGGATATATATAAGATCCTCAACTCACACATATCCATGCTTCTGAGATCCCAAGGTAAGCTTGCCTTCCTATCTGCTGCCTTGTAGACTGTAGAGATTCCGCTTCAGTATGTTTCAGTTGTCAGAGAATGGAACTATTTATCAATTGTATTTTATATAACCTTTATTTATACAGGTAATCTTAGATTCTCATCCTCAAAACAGACATGGTAGACACATGTAAAAACAGTGCTTCTGGTAATTTTGGGGAAATGCTGCAGTTGTGTTTAGGGCTAAATTGTAAAGGTGATACTCGTATCCACTGGTTACACCTGGAACAAGGGGTTTCATAGGCTATGACAGGGGACATGTGCTGATAGTCTGCACACTTCATTTGAAACCAAGAAAATAATCTTAAAACGATTATATGATAAACTGAGAGTTTCAAGAACAATGAACAGGTGTAATCTCTAAAACGTTGACTATAATTAAATGTATTATGTTAACAGAACTCACATAACTGTATTAGGTTAGTTGAAAGCAATAATATTGAGTTTAATTAAAGAATTAATAAAGAAGGTTCAACTTAATATTATTGCTTTCATCTAACCTAATATAGTGATGTGACATTTGTTGACATAATACATTTAATTAAAGTCAATGATTCTGTTTTTTCAGTGTTTGTTATTCCTGCTTTTATGAATTGAATTTAACAAATGTATAAAGGAAATATTGATATTGATTTGGACTGATTCAAAACTACATAAAGATTTAGATATTCCAGAAAAACAATGCTTGTTTACATTGGTGGAGATAATGTGCACCAACTCATTTGGGTTTATAGGCAATATGCTTTGAGTACATTATAGTTATTGTCAGGTTTAAAAAATAATATGCAGTAATTTGATGTTACTATTGTTTGTCTCTGTCTTTTCTTTGACCAATCTGTTTGGTCTATTTATTCTAGAACAAAAGGAAATCAGAGTTTGAGATCAAAATGACGGGGCTCACTCTTTTAGCAGGTAATCAGTCATCAGGTCTCAGTTCTTCACATTACCATGGTTCTTGATAATATGATACATTAAGCCTATCATTGTTTCATGGTCACCTCTCTATAGGCGTGTGCCTGCTGATGTGCCAACTGGGTAAGTCACTCTCGTGATATTGGTCTCATTGGTATTATGTGTATGAAATGTCAGAAAATATTAGTAGTTTCTTGCAAGGCTGACCACAGATTTGCTTTTACTGATCTCCAGCAACTGCCTCCAAGATGGTATGCTATTTCACTAACTGGTCCCAGTACAGACCCGGGACTGGGAAATACCTGCCCCAAAATGTGGATCCCTTCCTGTGCACCCATCTGATTTATGCTTTCTCAATCATCAACGACAAAAACGAGTTGACTACCTATGAATGGAATGACGATGTCCTGTACAAGACCTTCAATGGCCTGAAGAGCAAGTAAGAGTTTGTCTTTCCACTATATGAAATACAATCCCTAGTTCCTGCAACTTGTACTTCAATCTGCATTTGTTAAAATTATAATGTCCCTTTTCAGCTATATGATAAACAGGCCTTCGTCAACTCAAGTGTTCTGCATCTATGTGTTAAAGGAACCCTGGTCTGAAGACCCTACTGGCTGTTGGTGGATGGAACTTTGGCTCAACTCAGTAAGTGTTCCTTCATTGCTTCTTCATCAGGAAATGAAAATATACAATAGATCAAGAAAAAAGAGATATGCTATACTTCTGATCAAGAGTTGTTCAGTTTTTTAGGACAATGGTCTTAAGTTTATTTAATGTTGAACACATTTCCTCAGGTTCTCCATCATGGTGTCCACTCGAGCCAACCGTCAGACGTTCATCCAGTCTTCTATCAAATTCCTGAGGACTGGAGGCTTTGATGGTCTGGATCTGGACTGGGAGTACCCTGGATCTCGTGGAAGTCCTCCAGTGGACAAGATGAGGTTCAGTCTGCTCTGCAAGGTGGGTCCTGGTGTTTTGAGCCATTGGAAACATGTGGTCGCAGGTTCCTTCCTTTGTTTCCATCAAGCCACTTAGACGCCTTAAACAGACAGTTCTAACGTTTTACCTTATTCATTTATATGTTTTATTTACTATTTTAATTAGTTATTTGCCTTCCGATGATGTGCTGATGATGTGCTGATGATGTGCTGATGATGTGCGACTTGTGTTTAATTAAAATAAAATAATAATATTTTCACACACATTCAACAAAGAAAATAGGCCTTTTCTATAGTCAAACAAATCAAAACAAAATACGCAAAACTCCAATAAAATGAACAACCTTGAACGTCATTCTTTCTTTTACTAAGTGTAGGATAATCTAACTTAAGGGTTTCAAATCTGTTTGTCGACATCTTTCGTGGAAACTGTAGGCTTTTGTAGTCTTGACTACAGAGGTCATGAATAGGTGACAATATTTGGCCTTTTTACCATAACTGGCTCTAACACACATATATCCCATTGACAACATCATATATTTATGAGAGTCTTATTAATGGTATTTTTTCAGGAACTTGTTAAAGCGTACGCTGCTGAGGCCAAGGCCACCGGCAACCCTCAGCTCATGGTGACTGCTGCAGTGTCTGCCGGGAAGGGAACCATCGATGCTGGATATGAGATCGCTGAAATTGCCAAGTACTGCAGATTGTTATTATTTTGTTTTTTCAGTTTTATTATTTTAAAATTATTTAAAGATAGTAGGATGGGAACTTTATCAGTATTTCATATGATTTTCAGGCATCTGGACTTCATCAATGTGATGACCTATGACTTCCACGGAGCTTGGGAGCGATCTACTGGACACAACAGCCCCCTGTACCGCGGCTCCCACGACAGTGGGGACCTCATCTACTTCAACACTGTAAGAGATGCAGTTGTCTCGGCATTAGTGGAAGACATTATATGGCACAAACGATACAGGAATACATACATCACATTGCAATGCAATACTCTTTTAGTGTAACTAAACCAATTTTACACATGAATGTCTGCTAATAGATACAACTAAGCAACAACTGAGGCCCTCTGACAATATTAGGATGATTTCATAGCGGTGTCATTCGTGTATCTCATCTTGGAGAGTAGAAATGTACAAAAAGATTGTGAAGTTAATAACATGTATGATCCTGCACTTTTGAGTCTAGACAACTAAAAGGATAAGTGGACCGGAAATGTACTATCAACTTTATGGAAGTCCAATAACAAATCCCTTGGATAACCTTTTGATATGAGACAATCACTGTCGGTTGTCTGCATGAAGAATTTCAAGCATTGTGTCTGTTATCTTCCCTCCCTTTCTATTTCAGGACTATGCCATGAAGTACTGGAGAGACAACGGCACCCCAGTGGAGAAGCTGATGATGGGATTCGCTGCCTACGGTCGTACCTTCCGTCTGACAACATCAAACACTGGTGCTGGAGCTCCAACTATTGGCCCTGCATCAGCCGGACCATACACACGTGAAGCTGGATTCTGGGCCTACTATGAGGTCCGGTCTGAACAATATGAAATACTGCATGCTAACACAGGTAGAATGGATAGAACATGGAACAATCCAATGGCATTTTGGTCTTTCAGATCTGCACCTTCCTGAAGGGCACCACCATTCAGTGGATTGATGACCAGAAGGTTCCCTATGCCACCAAGAACAACGAGTGGGTGGGATTCGACAACAGGGAGAGCTATGAGATCAAAGTATGAACCAGGGATTACAGATTTAGGGTTGTCCGCATGGTGAAATTCAACAGATAAATTGATTCCTACTGAATGTTTTGGTTGACTTGTCTTCTTGTTGATCCACAGGTCCAGTACATGAGGGACATGAAGTTTGGTGGTGCCTTTGTATGGGCTTTGGATTTGGATGACTTTAAAGGAAAGTTCTGTGGAGAGGGAAGCCATCCTCTGCTGTACCATCTACGCAAACTCATTGATAATGGTAAGTTATGATACTCAACTTTTTCTTTTTGGCCAATATGTTCCTAGCTTGTCAAACCAACTCTTCATAAGTCATTTTCTTACAAATGTTAAAATGATGTATTTCTCTTTCTTACACCTCACACAGAGATGCCTCCACGTCCAACAACCACAACCAAGAGACCTGCTGTCACTACCACAGCATCAGTCACGACCTCCAAACCTGTTGTGACCTTCACAACAACCATGAAACCCAGTGGAACCACCCCCGCTCCGTCCACCAGGACCACCGTCCCCATCCCAGGACGCGGCTTCTGCAAGGACAAGGCTGACGGCATCTACGCCCACCCTGCTGACAGAAGCGCCTACTACACGTGTGCAGGAGGCCGAACCTACCTGAGTAACTGTGGTGTTGCGACTGTCTTTGACATTGGCTGCAAGTGCTGTGTGTGGCCCTAAATATTAGCTGTTGGAGAACTGTCACTGATTGACGTCTCAGTACTGACTCAACAAGCTCAATGCCTCTGGGAACTGAGTCCTTGAAACACCCCCCTATACCAGGATGGGTTATGCAGCGATTAAAATTAACTTTGTATGCAGATCTGTGTACAAGTGTGACAATAAAACGTTGGTTTGATTTTAATCTTCCATTTTATTTAAGGAGAAATGTATCGATAAAATAAATGTTGGTGGCAATGCAGATAAGATACCCCTAATGCTGTTGAAAATGTAACTGCGGCATTCCACCTTATTTGGTGACGTCATCCTGAAAGTATTGAGGTGGTCTGATCGAGGTGGGTATAGAATATGTTCTCACCACTTGATGAAGTCTTGGCAGTTGTGTTCTCTCTCTTGCATTGTAGGATAAATATCACACAAATCAGCAAATAAACAGCTGTTTTTAGAGTACAGTACAATAATGACAACACTGTGATAACAGGTTTTTAGCACAGAGATTTGTCACCAAGCTTCAATCTAGCAAAGTAACTGTAAACCCCCTTACAGCTGTCATAGAAGTCATTTTAAAGCACTTACAGACACGGCACTAAAATCCACTTTGCTGAGGTTTTTGAGAAAGAAGACATTTTCAACAAATGTGTTAGTCTTTAAAAGATATACAATATGTGTTGAGGGAAATAATTGTATTAAAACATAGAGCTCTCAGTCTTCTGTCCGCCTCTGATTAGGTATTATCTATTCCTTTTGTCTTTGTGTTTCCCTGTCGGGTTAATAGACCAGAACGTGTTTTTCTTTGAATTTGAATTCATGGTTTGTAACGGTTTGGTTAATATTAAAATACACTGTAGTGCCAATGGTGTAAAGTACATTTACTCAAGTACTGTATTTAAGTACAATGTTGAGGAACTTGTACTTTATACTACATGTATTTAATACCTTTAGTTACTTCACAGATGTGGATGAATGATGTGAAATGTAATCAAGTGTTGAATCAGACTTTAGTTCCACCTGGAGTAAATCCACCAGCTACCCTGCAGTATACAAAGTCATTCAAACTAGCTGCACCTTTACCAGCTTTGAGAACACTTTCATGATCAATCATTATAAAACATATCATATATATTATTCTGAAATGGACCAATCTGCTCAACGACTACTTTTACTGTCGCTACTTTCACTATATTTAGATGAGAATACTTTTCTACTTTTACTTGAGGAACATTTCAAATGCAGGACTCTTACTTGTAAAAGAGTAATCCTACACTCTGGTACTTATACTTTTACTTAAGTACAAGATGTGAGTACTTCTCCCACCTCTGTGTAATGCTGATCTGTATCATGTAGGCTTGATTGAAATGCAGTCTTCAAACCCTGAGCTCAGAGCAGCAGACTCCTGAAGCTCTTACCTCAGCGCCCTGTCTCACTGCCTCACACTGTCAGACAGGTTCAAGTGAATCATTCATTAATAATAACACACAGTTTAAACAATAAATCCCAATTACACCTTTATCAACAGAGAAGAGCAAAGAATGTATGGGCTCAAAAACATGAAAATGTATTCACTGTAAAATAGTCTGTGCAGGATTGTATAGTGTCATTACATGTGGCATATCTTATTGTAACACATTATCAGTCACAGTGGGAACGTTTTGGTACTGTTTTTCAGCATTGCTTATATTTGGCCTGAAGACCTTTGCATTTATGTTCCGGCAAGTGATAGGGGTGTGCCAGCTCCAACACCTCAGTATTGTCTTTCACTGCATGGTGTTTGTGCCAAAGGAGATGGAGACTTGACATATCTGATTATCAGAATGTCTGACGTCATTCGGCCATCGCCATATAACACATCATCTTTGTGACTTGAGCCATAGGGAGCAATAAAAACATTCAGGTCATGCTGTTATTGCTGTAGAGATGTTTGCTTCAAAGGACAATTGTACCACTTCACTAATTGCTTTCAATCAATACTGAGAGTAATAACCCTAATATGAAGAAGACCGAGATGTAATGAAGATCACCATGGGCAAACAACACAAAAACAAATCACATTATGTTTCTGGACATGCAATAACTCCAATTCCTCCAAATCAAAGCTTTGTTGAGGTTTACTAGAAACATGTTTGTCAGGGTAGGATTGGGAGCATTCAGTAGGTTCTGTAGGTGAGATGGAAAGTGCGTACAATAACTGCGTTGAACAACCCTCAGAATGCACCTGCAGCTTTATGCAGCTGCATAATAGACTGCACACTGCCTCTGTGTGTAGTGAGTCTGATGTTTCAGTTCAACGTGACTGCATGGACACTTACATTTAGAGGATGTTCTGCCTGATCGCTGTTTTGATGTACCAATAAATAATAAAGGGGTTAAAACCTGAGCCTCAAACTTATATTTCATAGAGTTGTACATCTTTTAGATGGAACAGATAACATATTCTGACACTTCAAAAATATACATTTACTAAAAGGTGGAGTCCTGTTGTAACTGTACTAATACAGTGAAGCCATCCTAATTCCCCCTTACTTTCTGTGGTGTGTCTGTTGTTGTTGTTGTTGTTGTTGTTGTTGTTGTTGTTGTTGTTGTTTCTATTCTCAACCTTAACCACTCGTTTAACCCTTAAGAGTCCCTTTAAAAAAAAAACCTGAATGGCTGAAAAATGGCCCCAGGGACTCTTAAGGGTTAAAACCGTGACCATGATCCCAGGAAAGATTTGTCTCCTTGGAAAGTCACATAGAATGCAGCTTAGTTGAATGGGAACCTCATGTTTTATGAGACAGGAAAGCACTAAATGATTGTTTGAATCAGCACCGTTTCTCAGAGTGAGGATTCTTTGATTCATTCTGTCTGGAAAAGGTGTGGAATGCATGTCTTTCCTCATGGCACAGTTTGAAAGCTTTATTTGAAATGAAATACAGAGTCAAATCCCAGGTCAAATGTGGCGTTAGAGGGTCTTGAGCATGTTTCTCAAAAGATGTGTCTTTGTTGATGTTGTAAATAAAGCTGCTGTGATGCAAGCAAATGTTTAGACTTGGTCTGTTAATAAGGTTTTATTGTATCGTATCCTATTCATCTCTTCTCATCCTTCTCAGCAGGAGCCTGTCTTGGCGTGCGATTCAGTGAACAACTGAGACTGCTGTTAGGACTTTCTGAGTGCTCATTTCAAATGTAGTACATTTCAATACTGTGGAAAGTATTTCACTTTGTCTTATGTATTAGTTTAAAACGTTACTAGTTCCTCACCAGCTGCTGCTGTTACACATGTCATGCTGTTGTTAAGCTCATATCTTTGCTGTTTGTACTGTAGATCATTCAGGTGTTCACGTTGTCATGTCTACCTCCTTTGAAATATGTTTCTCTTTTATTGTGCCTATCCCCTGTGTCCCAGAATGGCCCAGTCAGCTCATCCCTTATCAGAAAAGACAAGCTGCTGGCTGAGGAACGTCATAATATTCAATGGTCAGGGCCGCTGGGAAACAAAGGACAGAGATACAGTGATCAAAGCTGGGAATGAGGACACACTGAAGCTGAAACGCTGACTTTAATTACATGTATTATGTCAACACATTTCACATGACTGTAAGAGTAATATTATTACATTTAAATAGTTTCAATTTAATATTAATGCTTTCAACTTACCTATACAGTTATGTGAAATGTGTTGACTTGTTACATTTAGTTCAAGTCAAAGTTTCAGTTTGTTTCAGTGCAGGAGAGTCTGTAGCTACACCATATGATTTCATAATCTATTTGCATTTGTTGAATGATCAAATATTGATTTTGAGTTGAAGATGAGTTGATGATATATGAATTACTGATTTCCATGACAACCATAACAATAAGACATCTTAACAATCAAAGGTAACATTTGAGGACTATGACCCACAGGTCATTTCGGACTTCAGACTCTGCAGGATCTTATCAAAACCTTCTCTAATAATCATAACATTTATTACCCCAATGTATCAAAGGCAACTACACCTCCCCATCTCTCTGGGTACAATCAAATGTATAAAAAGCCTAACATTGCTGTGGTTGGTCTGGTCTCTGGTCCAGTCTAAGGTGGGTCTAAGAACAAACAATGCCTCTAAATTCAACATTTGTATCATGATGATCTAAAGAATGGTAGCTCTCTTTCGCTAATGTTGTAATTGACCTTGTTTACTTTTTGCCTCCCATAGTAATCCAGTGAATTTGTGAGAAGAGAATTCAAAATGACCAGGCTCACAATTCTAGCAGGTAATTAATCTTCACTTTCCAACTATAATATCTTTAATACTGTCATCCTGATTGTTCATAATATTATTTTTCTATTTTGGTGTATTTGTACAAACAACATTTACTTCTCTCTTTGTTTGCTTTTTGAAGCATATTCCATTCATTTCACCAGTTAAAGGATGTTTCCTTATCTGAAGCCAGTTAGACAGAGGGTGCCATAAGATGCACAGATTTTAGAAGTCCTTTATATGCAAATGTGTGATATTGAGACATACAAATAAAGTTGACTTGTCTTGTATATTTTAGATGTATAGTCTCACTGTTTCTTTTATTTATTCCTTAGGGTTATGTCTGGTGATATGTCAACTGGGTAAGTCCTAATACTTTGTGATCAACAAGACTCATTTGAATTGGATTTTCACTTGCATAACATTACTGGAATCAACGTTTCTTCATTCTTCCTTTACTCCACCACAGGATCTGCCACCCAGATGATATGCTACTTTACCAACTGGTCCCAGTACAGACCTGGTCCGGCGAAGTACATGCCACATAATGTGGACCCCTTCCTGTGCACCACCCTGATCTACGCCTTCTCCATGATCAACCAAGCCAACGAGCTGATTACCTATGAGTGGAATGATGAGGTCCTCTACGAGTCTTTCAATGGACTGAAATCAAAGTAAGTGGCCAGAGTTGAGAGAGGTCAGAGGTCAGGCTAAGATGCAGTGGCTCTGGCGTTAGCAGACGTTTTGTTCCATGCACAAGAGGCCTTTAGCAGCTACTGCTAGCTGAAATGGGGACTTTGCTAAAACAATGATTCCAGTCCAGGGATGTTCTGTAATGTATAATGTAAAGGCACAACTTGAGTCTCTGATACGCTGTTCAGTAACCTACCCTCTGTCCTGTTTTCAGAAATCCTCATCTGAAGACTCTTCTGGCTGTTGGCGGGTGGAACTTTGGTTCTAGACAGTAAGTCATATTTTAAATCCGGAACACAACTAATAACATGAGAATAGAATAGAATTGGGAGGGATGAACCCCTCTTTAATGGTCTCACATGCAGAGCACACAGCACACAGTGACATGTGGCCTCTGCATTTAAGCCATCCTAGTACCAGGAGTCTAGAACTAGGAGCAGTTGGCAGCTAGTGGGCAGCGCCCGGGGAGCAATGGGAGTGGGGGGGAAGGGAGGTGTCCGGTGCCTTGCTCAAGGGAGTTATGTTACTGGTTCTCTAACCACTACATTATTGGAACCTTAAGGGCATGTATTGGTCTCGTTTCTTCTTCCATATCTGTATGTCTATTTAAAAAAAGCAATGATAAATAGATAACCAGATAAATGAAAACCATCATATATGTATATTGATCATGCATGACTTTTAATCTTTGTTCAGTTTTGGATAGTGTATGCTAACTAAACCCAATCTTCCATGCAGGTTCTCTGTCATGGTGTCCACTCCAGCCAACCGCCAGACGTTCATCCAGTCTTCTATCAAATTCCTGAGGACTCATGGGTTTGATGGTCTGGATCTGGACTGGGAGTACCCTGGATCTCGTGGAAGTCCTCCTGAGGATAAAGGACGGTTCACTCTGCTCTGCAGGGTGGGTCTACATTTATCTTGCTTTAGTTTGTAACTGCAGCTACAATTCAAATGTTTACATCATGTTGACTTTCTGGTTTGTGTTTGCAGGAGCTCAGGGCTGCCTACGCTGCTGAGGCCAAGGCCGCCGGCAAGCCTCAGCTCATGGTGACTGCTGCAGTGTCTGCTGGGAAGAGAACCATCGATGCTGGATTTGAGATCATTGAAATTGCCAAGTGAGTGTTCTGTCTTGTATGCCTCTTGAAAGGAAAACTGGGAGTTCTAAGAAGGCTTCTGAAATGATTTGCTTGTGTTTCCCTATCCAGGGAACTGGACTTCATCAATGTAATGACCTACGACTTCCATGGAACTTGGAACACGTTCACTGGACACAACAGCCCACTGTTCCGCGGATCCATGGACACTGGTGAACACATCTATTTCAACACTGTAAGTACATTTCGGAACTAAAGAAGAAAAGTACCTTCTTTAAAGGTTTTACATCATCTCTTATTTCCCTTTTGTAGGACTTTGCCATGCAGTACTGGAAAAATAACGGCACCCCAGTGGAGAAGCTGATGATGGGTTTCGCTACCTATGGTCGTACCTTCCGTCTGACAACATCAGACGATGATGGTGTTGGAGCTCCAGTTAGTGGCCCTGCATCAGCCGGACAATACACACGTGAAGCTGGATTCTGGGCCTACTATGAGGTACAGATTAGATAAGGCTTGAGTAAACCCATTATGATGTACAGCAGTGGTTCTCAACTGGTCAGGCCTCGGGACCCACTTTTTCCTTAGTCAATAGATCGTGATCCGAAATGTTGAAGCACTCAAATCTATTCAACGAAAAATCCTGCAGTAATATATACGCTTTGCAGCATACAATATTAATTAAGGTGAAGTACAGTGCATATCCCTTATATCCCTTCACAGAACAAAAGAATGCTTTAAATAAGGTTTCATGAGATGATGGAATCAAAGCTGAACTGTATGATTTTTTGAAATACTAACATATAAACTACCCATTCTGGTACACTCTGAGAAGAAAATAAATAGATGTATTACGACATATTAATAATATTTTATGCCATTGTTTGTTTTTCACTTTGTTCTGAAGCTTAACTTGCTGCTCCACACAGAGAGAATAGCAAAGATGAGATAGTCTGTGTGAAATAGTTTCAATTGTGGGTAAGGGTAGATAACTCCCATTGTTCTGTGACCTGTCAATCATCAAACCGGGGTTCATGTCATTATGTGTTCATTTTGATCTGAAGTTGTAACCATGGATGTATAAAGAATAGTTCTACCGCAAAGTTATTCTCCGTGGGAACTTCCGGCTACAATCTTGATTCTGATTGGCCAGAAGACTCGAAAAAACATCAGCAAAGATGTTTTATTGAGAAGATGATCACTATGTGACAGAAGTTTTCAAATCCATTTATGGTCTCCGGTACTTTCAGTCCATCGCCTACTGCATGCACAGCGTTAGAAAATCGGGCATTCAAAATAAAAGTTTGACTTTTGTTTTTTTCACTCACACATCTGCGACCCACTCGAAACGGGTCCGCGACCCACCAGTTGAGAACCACTGATGTACAGTATATATCATTTACAAAAACTATGGTCTATGGTCTAGATCTGCACCTTCCTGGAGGGCACCACCATTCAGTGGATTAAAGACCAGAATGTTCCCTATGCCACCAAAAACAACGAGTGGGTGGGATTCGACAACAGGGAGAGCTATGAGATCAAGGTAGGTGGCACATCAGCTCTATATTCTAACATATTCACACCAAATCCAAAGTATTTCCATCAATTTATTTTGTATGTTTGCCACAACAGGTGCGTTACCTGCAGAAGGAGAAGTTTGGCGGTGCCTTTGTGTGGGCCCTTGATTTGGATGACTTTGCAGGACAATTCTGCGGAGAGGGAGCCCACCCTCTGCTGTCACATCTCCGAAAACTTCTTAATATTGGTAGGTCCAAAGCATTTTAATGCAGTTAGTAAACTATGTTCAAGACAGATACTAATATTTTTGGCTGCCATTTAAACCTGACTGCTGAGTTTAATCTCATATTCTCAGAGTTTAAGTCATAAAGTCTTATTTTAACAGGCATCAGGTTTGTCGTCACAAAGTTGGACAGCAGGTATCTTAAGGGCCTATAAAGTTTGGATGAGATGTCATATTCTGAAAAAAAAACCTGTATCTTACTAATACTATGGAGTATTTGCAGTAGTAAAGTAATGTACAATGTTGTCTGGATTATTCATTAAGTCATAGTCACTTTATAGACACACATTAATAGACATGTATTGTCGCACTCAAACCCTTCTAACTCTTTTACTGCTACCATTTAGAACTGCCCCCACTGCCCTCCACCACCACCGCCAAGCCTGGTGCTAGCACGACCTCCACCACCACCACCACCACCACCACCACCCACGCCCCAGGACCTGGCTTCTGCAACGGGAAACCTGACGGCCTGTACCCCAACCCAGACGTCAAGACCAGCTTTTACTCGTGCGATGGGGGCGTCACCCACCAGAACCACTGCGGATCTGGAACTGTCTTCAATGACAGCTGCAAGTGCTGCACCTGGCCCTGAGCCCCCAGTGGAGGCAGAGTGCACTACAACTGATGACAACTAATAGACAGAATGTTAAAGTTCTATTGTATCCACTGTGTGTGCAATCATTGATCTGAGACTATCCTTAGTGGTGTATTGATACATTGCATCTTGTTAAATATGTAACATACAATGCATATTACAAACAGAAGCATCAAGTACTACAAATTGTGATGACTCGTCATTTCAATATACAGTACATATTAAATGTATTACTTTGCAACATTTATTTTCTATACATCTAACAATGAAGAAGAGCATCTAAACTGCAGAGTTTAGTTTAATCTTGACACCAACAGCTGTTCAGAAACTTTGTACAAATAAACCAAGAGGGGGTATATACATATCTTATGTCCCTGCTACAGGTACAGAGGGCCAATTCCAAAAAATCAATAAACTTACAATGTTTATATGATGACAGGTTTTATCTGAATTATATATGGCATTAATCCAGGCTCTTACATCAAATGCTCATACAGTATTTGACCTTTTGTTGTTTCTTAGTCAGACCAGCGGTGAGGAATCACAGCACCACATGCAGTTGAGACTGCGGACATGATTATTATCATAGACATGATTATTGCCCTGATACTGATGCGATACTTTGGGTCGGTCAGGAATAAAGAGAGGTTCAAACAGAGGGAGGGAACCTTTCACACTCATTCATAGTATATGAAAGCAATTTAACATACAGTGATGATCAGTTAACCCACCAGAGCCCAAAGAAATAAAAAAACAAACTTCACTGTCGTTGATAGGTGACAACGTTGGTGTTAAAGGTCACTGAGTCACTGGTCGTAAGAGGCCTGCATGTTTTTAGTGTGGTGATTGTTGATTTAAGGATTGTTAACGAAAATTAAGAACATGTTGAGTAAACACTCATATCATTACCTAATAAAGTTACGATTGTATTAACAATTCTGAATATTTTGATTTTAAACACAGTGCATAGCTAGTTAGATAGCCAGCATTCAGCAAGGGCCTTGTTTCTCTCTACTCTGTAAAATGCGGAGGATCATGAGGCGGATTCACCAAAGCTCACAAACAGCATTTTGACAGAACAATCCCAGACTGCAGCTGATCAGGTTTCACCAAAACAGATTCTGACTGAGCTCCTCAGGATGGTATCAATACAGAAGAGTTATACTGTGCTTTTATTGCAACGAAATCATGGACAGAGGAGCATACATTTTTCAAAATTCAAACAACAATTATCAGCCATTTCCTAAACAACGGCATAACATCAAGACAGTGATGGATAATAGAAGGTGCAGGCATGACATTTTAGTTTCAAATGAGTTTCGTGTTAAAATACTTTAGGTGATATTTTTGGAAGTAAGTCACACACACAATATCAGTCACATGATCCCTGTTAAGGGAGAAAAACCGAATAATTTCACTAAGGTTTTTAACGAGAATGAGGCGTCTCAGTGAGTTGATTCTCTGGTAAACTCCTCCACCTGCTGAAGGACAGCAGGAATGACTGCAGAGGAGGAAGTTGATTGTTCGGCTGTAAATAATGACATTAGCAGTATCAGTATTAAGTCAGTAACACAAAAAAAAGAGGATATTGGGTACACCGTAAAAGTAAAAAGCCAAGGCAACTGTCTGCACTCCATTTTTGTGTTTTGAGGCCAACTACAATTCTTAAAGGGGACATATCATGCTATATTTGAACAATATATTGTAGGGCCATACCTATATAAAGTATATAAATATATATCTTTTTTCAAAATACCAAACAGATCCTGCATTTTAGCCATGCCTCATTTCGCTCGATTTGCTCTTTCCAGCGCTGTTTTTGCAGGGGCTGATTCTGTGAGCTGCAGCTGACCACGCCCCCCTGCAGGAGAGGGGAGCATGCTCTGAGATCAGCTGCTGGGCTGTCAGAAGAGGGGGAGAAAAAGAGATCTCCGTCCTCCGTCAATAACAGTGCAGCTGTTCTTATCGAATCAACCCCTCCCAACTTTAGTTTTATGAGTCAGGAAAGAATGCATAAGAAAGGGGGTGGAGTTGCTATTCTGTTCAATGATTCCCTTCAATGCAGGAAGACATCTTATGGGAACTTTGATTCTTTTGAATATGTGGCCCTTCAGCTGAAATGCTCCTTTCGAGCTCTGTTCCTAAATATCTATAGACCACCCAAATACTGTGCAAGCTTTTTTGATGCCTTTACTGAACTGCTGTCTATAGTGTGTATTGACTTTGACCGTCTAGTCATTGTTGGTGATTTTAACATCCATGTTGACAACCCCCAGGACAGAGGGGCTAAAGAACTGCTTTGTGTTCTTGATAGCTATGGACTGACTCAGCATGTGACGGAGCCCACGCACAATAAGGGGCACACTCTGGACTTAATTATCTCAAAGGGTCTGAATATCTCTAAGGTTGTGGTGACTGATGATGCACTCTCAGTGTGCGAAAAAGTACACGTCCGGGACGTGTTATTTACAATATCGGACAAGTAGATCTGTCAATTGACTTGTCCGGCGGACAAGTGACGTTTATTGACAAATTATTGATACATTCAGTTTACAAAAGGCAGAACTCATTCACAAATTGTACGTGTCTGCCATTGTTCGTTTAGAAATGTTAGTTTCGGTTCTGTTTGTCGATTCCTAAGGAAATGCATCTCGCCGCTTTCTGTACAGTTAGACGGGGGCGGAGCGGGAAGTGTAGCACAGTGGCAGGGTTGGGAAGCAAAACTCGGTTCCGAGTAGGAACAAATAATAATTGTCCGGTCCCAGGATTAATAAGAGTTGTGAGGACAGGAGGCGAGGCCGAGCCCTGCGGACCGCAGCTCTCTCTCTCTATGCTCCGTATCAGCTGATCGCTGCACGGTGCAGCTCAGCGTCTCTCTCTCTCTCTTTCTACACACAGCGGATCCGCTGCCCGTTTAACAGCCTCATCTTTGTCAAACTTTCTTATGTTCTTTCTCTAACACATAATGAAGGTTATTAAGCGTTTTAACTCCTATGTTGTTAATATTGACCGCCATTTCCTTTATGAAGTGAAGCAGCCTCCCTGTCTGTGTCCTTGCGCTGTCCTCACATCCCCGGACCCCCAGACGGGGGCAAAGCACTGAATGGTTTAGGCCCAAATTACATTTCTGACCTCCTGCTAAATTATGAACCATCCAGATCTCTCAGGTCTTCAGGGACTGGTCAGCTTTCTGTCCCCAGAGTCAGAACTAAACATGGTAAAGCAGCGTTCAGTTATTATGCTCCAAATATCTGGAACAAACTCCCAGAAACCTGCAGGTCCGCTGCAACTCTGACTACTTTTAAATCCAGGCTGAAGACTTTTCTTTTTGTCGCTGCTTTTAATTGAACTATTCATATCTTAGACTGCACTGTAACTTTTATCCATGTATTTTTTCTTTTAATGTTTTAAATTTAAACGTAATTAATTTCTCCATGACATTTATGAGAGGGACTGCTCGAAAGTAGAATATTTGGGATATCCATCGTAGCTAGGGTTTACGATCAGTTTTTAGGTGAGTTGTACTGAGGAACAAGTATCACAGCACCGACGGGTGAAAAATAGTGTTTAGGTAACACGGGGTGTTCAGGTAACACTTAAAGACTTTGTTATGGAACGCAAAGCAGAGTAGGGGGCTAGTACACCCTCCTGAGGGTCCGATTGTGGATGTCATGCGAGCAAAACATGGTGAAAACAATCAGTCTAAATTAACAATTGGGACGGAAATGTTCGGATTTCCAAAGGGAGGTTCTGTGAATAAATTAAAAATCAAGAACCGAAATAATTGAACTATTCATATCTTAGACTGCACTGTAACTTCTATCTTTTAATGTTTATTTTATTATCTTTTACTGTTTTTAAATGCCTTTGTCTGAATGTCTTTCATTTTTGTAAAGCACCTTGAATTGCCTGGTGCTGAAAGGTGCTATATAAATAAACTTGCCTTGCCTTGCCTCCGTGTTTTATTCTTATAGAAGTAAGAAGTGAAGTAATGGGGCAGAAACCCTCCTTTTTATGCAGCGGTCCAGACATAGACATCAAACGGCGACACATATTCAGTTGCCAGTTCCTTTGGCATTAGGGAAGGGATATCTAGACACTTTCCAAGGTTTGACATAATGAATTGTGCTACTTTTAAAGCAAGCAACGATGTTTTCAAACCTGTAATCAAAAAGCTCCTCAAAAACACTATCGAAGCAGTTCCTGCCGTTGCTACGTTAGTTCAAACAGTAACAACGGACTATTTTTCTTAGCGGATGCATGTTAATTTAAATCAATACATACAACTATTTTTTAAATCAATAAAATCATTTTCTAAATCCATAAAAGCATTTCAATTAAAGGTGGGGTAGGTAAGTTTCAGAAACCGGCTCGAGATACACTTTTTGTTATATTCCATGGAATGCTCTTAACATCCCGATAGCAATGAATATCTGAAGTGCTTTGACAAAAAATCCATACAAAAATGTAATCTGTGGAAGCCGTAGTACTATAAAAAGTACAACCAATCCGTTTAGCCGGGCCTTCCATCTCCTGCACGCACAAATGTATCTCGTGCCCTCATTGGGCGTGCCCTCATTGGGCGTGCATTGCAGCAGTACTTCAATGACTCGCCAGCAACAGGCGGCCACTTTCACCAGTCTGCTGACGTCATGTGCGCGTTCATGTGTGTTGGAGGAGGTGCTCTGTAAGGAAGTCTGAAGGAAGGGGCGGATTCTTTTCGGCTGTGTACTTTCAAATGTTAGTGCACCCGAGCCGGTTTCTGAAACTTACCTACCCCACCTTTAATATTGAGAGTCATATCGTTACTTTGTTGAGAATGTGGTCATGTAATAAGCGGGATTCGCGTCGGGCTCCTGATCAGCCTGTTGGTGTTCTTTTCCCCATAATGACCGCGTCGCTGCACATTATCCCTTACATATGATTATAAAGACTCCTTATTCATTTGTTTTGAAGCAGGAGGCGCAAACGCTTGCCTCGGGGAGGGAAAAAAAAGAGCCACAGCGGAGAATA